ATGAAATTCTGGTCGCGACGCGTCGAGCTGTCGTCCAGTTAACCGTGTGGATAACGCCCATGAATTTAGAGCCGATCGCGGCAACGCTTTCATTCACCTTGTGAGACACCATATTACCGTCCATTACTTTCACAATTTGTCGTAGGGTCGTTTCCGCTCCTTCCAGCGCGTTGGTGTCCGGGAGAGCCGCATGAGCGAGATCGCGCGTCGCAGGAGAAAAACGGTCCGTTCCGGCCAGCAGAAATTCTGCGTACCGCCATTAACCCTTTCGGAGTACCCAGCGTGCTAATAATATCCGGCCACACGGATAATTAGCACGAATAATGTAACGAGCGTAATTAAGGAAAGTGAGCGATTATACATTAATAAAACGAATAATACAGACAGACTGCTATTAATCGATTGAAAATTTGCTAAATTTAATTCTACAATAATTGGCTCGGAGATATCGTGGGCAAAAAAAACCAATCGGATATTATTTCGTAATATCGAGGCGATGCGATAAGTCAGTTTTATAGCGAAATTGAATTGGTTTTTGTCCAAGTGACGTGGACCCTCTGTTTCCTCGATTTTTACCTGAGAATTCCGCCGTGGGAACCAGAGTAACCACGATTCGACGATTCTTATTCAGAACCCTTAAAAAAGGAGGGAGGGGAGGGAGATGCGGGTACAAGGACAACGAAAAGGTTCAGGAGTTACGAGCCGAAGGAGTGCGGCTCTCGCTGCTCGCGATCGCTTAATTCCTCTAAATTGCGTCGAATTGAGGGGAATAATTTTCTCCATTCTTGGCAAGAGGCAATTGAACGGGCGGACCGGACTGGACGGCGACATGCAACGCACCCCAGGGTCGCACACAAAGCCGCACAAAGCCGACACGCAGAGACACGCACGGTATACAGGGTGTCTCCGATCGACAATTGTAGCAGAAGGAAAATAATTCAAGTTAACAAATTCAATTTCACATCGACAAGTAAAGTCCCAGCAGTTTTAGCACGACGTGCTGCCTATATCGTTAAATTAGAAATGCCGTTGATCGAAGGCATCCCGCGAACCCCCGCGAACCCCCACGAACGTCTCATTGTCAAATGGAAGAACCAGACCTTCGCCCTTTCGCATACCGCACGCCTCCGCCGTCTCTCGCTCGTGCGGAACGCGCGTTTCCCGCGGATATACACGTCAATCGATCGACGTGGAAGACACCGAGGCGCCTACGAGGGCTACGTAACCGTCGTGCCTACGAAATCAAATGCACGAATCTCGCGTGACTCCGATCGGAGCCGACGTCCGGACGAGTGAAAGTGCACCCGAACCGCCGCTGCGGTATTTTCTACGGGCGCGTGTCGGAAAAGAGCGTGGCGTATATAAGTATATACGTATGTATCGCGAGCGCAACACGGTTTGTTGCGGTATATGACGATTTGGTGCGCGCCGCGGTCGGTCATTACGCCGATATCGACGTTGTTACCTTATCTCGCTGCGCAAAATTTTCCAAGTCGCGTCTCGCTTTCCCGTCTCGGGAAAAAAGAAAAAAAAAAAGAAACGCGAATAAACTGCATTTTGCCACGTGAAAGAAAGAAAAGGACACATTAAACTCAATTTAAACTACGAAGGGCCGGTACGCGCGAATGGATGCGAACGCGTATGAATTATGCAGGGAACGGAAGGGCTATAAATAGCGGACGGAATATTACGCGCGCTCAGTCGCCTCGCAATTTACTTCACAAAGT